CAACAGCTGAAGGTAAAGAAGTTTCCCTGGAGCACAGAGTTTTACATCTTTGCACAAATCAAAATTGGTAGTTACCAGCTGTAACAACTGCCTGTACTTGTGTCTTCCTTGACAGCTGAGTGAAAATCAAACAAACCTAGTCCTCAAGCCACTCCTGTGGTGCATACATTTTGAATAAATGAAAAAGCTTCACTTATTTCCTGTTGGGGTTAATGAGCCTTTCATTTGGGCAAGGTGATGCATATCAGGGCAGTCATCAGCTTGTATTTCTTTGTCCAGCTGTCATGTCCTGCTTCAGCTGAATGCTACAGTTGATTCTCAACTGCTGCTGCATTTCTTCTGGCCACAAGGCTGTTCTCTGCTTTGACTGGAGTTGTGTTAAGATGCTCCTTTTTTAATCAGGTCATCTTATAGCATTCCTGTTGCCTACATTTTTTCCTCTTGCTCTGTTTTAAAGTGCATTCTTACATTTCAAGAAGATGGAAATACACTCAGGATGAATGATGTCGGTGAGATAAGAATACAGCCATTTCTCATCCTTAGTTTACTATGACAACATACATCTTCAGTGAGCAAAAAAGCAATTTTAGTTTCCTTCAGCTCAAAGTTTTGCAAAATGTCAAAGCAGCATCAAGTCAGAGCAACAGTAAGACTGATGGCAGGTTCTCAGCCTGTCTTCCAGATGGGTGTACAGTGATACAGCTTTTGCAAGCTCCTGTAAGAAATCTGATCCTTAAGAAATTATTCTCCAACCTTTTAGGTCTTACTGCTCTCCCTGAGAATCTATTTTATGATATGTTTTCCAAGAAGGACCAGAACAGAATATATACATATTCCAGTTTTTAGCTCCTCTAGAAGAGTGATGAGAAAGATGCTCAGCAACATAATGTCTAATGCATGTTATACTTAATTAATCCCCAAATAAATCCAAGGAAAAGACAACTGGTTAAAAGCAATAAAGCATGTTAGAAAATGGATCATTATTTCTGAAAGTTTTATATTTACCCTTTCTGGAGTGGAGTGGGGGGCCCTGAGAGCAAGAGAGGGACAGGGATTTCTTCTCCCCAACTACTTGAAGTATTAAATAAATATTCCCCCCCAATATGAAAGAAAAGCATGAAAAGTTCTTTTGAAAAATTATTTCTCCACAAATCTAGCACAGTATGGGACACTAAAGTTTTATTCTAAGACATGTCTTTCCGTGGCATTACAAAACAGAATGCTCACCTAATCATATCAAGATGAGAAAACTTATTTTCCTGATGATATATAAAGCAGGGAAATAGTTTCAGAAATAGTTAATTGCAACTTTTCTGGGAGTGGTTGCATTCCCCCATCCCCAGAATGGTTAACGGGGAGAGTGCCAGTGTGTTTCTGCAATTAACAATCATTTAACCCCCTTCCCTTTAGGCACAAAGAACCTCATTCTGGTTTGCAGTATTCAGGCTACAGAGATTCAGTTTCTTTAGTAGATGCAGGCTCAAACCACCAGCCACAAAAATTTGCATTGTATTTTGGCAGGTAGAGCTGCTGATGTTCCCCATTAGGTCAGGAAATGTGTGGGGTTTGCCAGTCTCTGCAAGGTAAGTGCTATTTTGGCCAGTGTCCCAGGGCTTGGCATCTTTGGAGGAGTGGCAGCACAGCAAGGAGGTGATGTGGCACTGCCACTCAGGGCTCTGAAATCCCTTTTCCTTGTGGCCCCATCTTAGCTGTTCCCAGGGTGCTCCCCATCTGATAGAGAAAATTCCTTCTGGGGCTGGGAAGCCAGGATTTGAGAAACAGAAAGAAAATAATTTTCTGAAAAAGTTTTGGAATATTAACTGGCAGAAAACACAGCCACTGCCCCCGGGAGAGCGAAGAATACAGCTGCCTACGGAAAAATACCTCATCTTCTCCCAGGATGCACCCTCAGCTCTGGCTATGCATCAAAAATATCCATGAAACATAGAATGCCTTCAAAACAGGTAATAAAAACAATTTGGAGTATGGCAAGATTTCTGTATGACAGCAGATGGAGAAGACGAAGCCTACATATTTTTTTACCGAGAAGATGAGCTACATTGTTTATGGTTTGCACAATGATACAGAGGAAGTACCTGTGGGTCCTATGCAAACTTCCTAAGTGCAGTAACTGGGAGTGCTGAATGAACTGTGAGGACAACAAATGAAAAAATAAGACAGAAGAGGGTCCATATCATAAGTAATCTATCTTCAGGAGGTTTGTAGAAGTCAAGACCAGCAATTACTAACACAGTTCGAGTTGCTTTCCTTGGAGCACTTAAGTAACTGCATGACCACAAATGATGTTGTGACCAGCAAGGTTGCATCAGGACCCATCCTCTTTGAAAGCCTTGAAAATTATTATTAGAGCGCGTTGGGTGATATGAAGACTGCTTAAAAAATTTCCCTTCTCTTGTTATTCACAGAAAGCCAAGAGTTTGGGAGGCTTCAGGTCCCCATTCCGACTTATTGGAGGTTTGGGGTTTTTCTAATTATTAATTTCTTACTTTTAGGGTGTACTTTTTAGAGTTGCTTAGTGAGCACCTTTCTACAGAGGGTAAGGCTGAGGCTCTCCAGGAAAGGATCTTCATCTCTAGCATTTTATCAACTTGAGATGTCCCACTGACTGTCCCTTTGGAGTCCAAAGCCCATACAGCATTCAAAAATCAGTTCATCCCAGGAGTCCTCTTTTGGTAACTGATGAGAGCTGAGGCTATATGCTGATGCCCTTTGTCCCTGCCAGTAAAGGGATTGAACAAGAAACGTCTCTGAACTGAAGCAAAACTGAAGGCTCAGGCTCCATGTCAGTATTCTGCAGAATCTCAGGTACTTTTTACTGAATTGTACCATATGCTGTAAAGCTCCCTGGTTCATAGAGAGCCCTCCTGCATCATGGTGCTTGGAGTCCTCTCCCTCCCCATTTCTCAACTTTATCCAGTAGGTGGAAGGGCAAAAGATGAACAAGAGTCATGTGAGGATTTTCCTACTGGTCTTTTTCAGTTCTTAGCACAGGAAAGTAGACTTTGATACTTGCTTTGGCTGAATTCCTTCATAATCCTAATTTGTAACAATGCTATCTCAGATTAAAATCCAGATATTTTTCTCTCAAAAGTATGGAGAGAGGAAGGGTTGGTGGTAGGAGAGAGTATATTGACTTGCTTGTATCCCGAAAAAGGGTATATGCTGTAAGGGTTTAGTTTATACTCTGGAAAGACAAGAGGTTTAGATTTGTCTGTGTATGTTCTGGACATGCCCATACTGTACTGTTTGCAGCCAAACCATCAAAAACTTCACAGACTCAGTTACCACACTTGTCCAAGAGCTGGGTAAGGTATCCGTCTCCCCTGCTTGAAGCAGAGAAGGCAGCTGTGCCAGGTATTCTTGGGCTTGTGTGCCTGGGAGAGCAGGAGAGCCTGTCTTATGACACAGGCTGTAAGCAATGTGGAGTGAGAATTGTCTGCATTTGTTAAAAAAGCCTTGTTATAGCTGTCCTACTCCCGATCCCTCTATGTCTGATAATATAAATGTTTAATGAGAGCTTTTCATGCTCCATTTTTTCCTCCCTTATACACCCCAGTATATTACAGAATCACTTATGTTGGAAAAGACCTCTGAGATCGTTGAGTCCAACCTTTGACCAATCACCACCTTGTCAACTAGACCAACTGTCATGTCCAATCGTTTCTTGAATGTCTCCAGGGATGGTGACTCCACCACCTCCCTGGGCAGTCTGTTCCAATGTTTAACAACCCTTTCCATGAAGAAATTCCTCCTGATGTCTAACCTGAACCTCCTCTGGCACAGCGTGAGGCTATGTCCTCTTGTCCTGTCACTAGTTGCCTGGGAGAAGAGAATTATGTTCACCCAGTACTGAGGAAATGATGGCACTGATGAAAGCAGGAATAGTGAGGAGTAATTCCCACTGCCGATAGAGCAGCCCTTTCTCTGTATCTGGTTAGGCAACACCAGATCCCTGGGAAGATATAGACTGTCTGGTGCATTAAAGGTATAGAAATTTAGCAGACAATAAACTCCCTTGAGTTTCAGCTGGTTCTCAGAGATCAGAAGGGATGGGTGCAAATAGGCTTAATTTCTGATTAGAACCATTTCAGCACTGTAGGTTTGGTTGAGTTTGATGAGAATTTTCACTTTGCACAAGTTCACAACTAGTGCAATTTACTAATACTGTAGGTCTGGTCAAGTTCAAGAACTTGCAAATCCAGATTCTGGAATAGTACAGTTTGTTGAAGCAACAGGAAAGCAGGTTCAAGATTGTTGGGGATAAATGCACTAATTACAGAGCATTAGTATCATGAGGTGTGAACCCCCCAAGCACAGCTCTGTGTGTGACGTCCTCTTTCAATGACTGCAGAGCAGCAGTTGTTCGAGCTGATGTTGCAGACCAATGCACTCGTGTATGGCCACTCTGTGGGCATCTCGATCTTGCACCAGGTACTGCAAGAGGCTGGGTGGTTCAACATGGGTGGTGGGAGTGGGTGGCTCAGTTTTGCCTCCTTGACTTTTCCTGAATCCTGTCTGTTCCTCATGCCCTCTGAATTCTCTAATCTCAAACTACGATGTCACTGCTGGAGCTCTCCTTCTAACTGCTGCTGACATCCTGACAACTCCATTTCTTGAGGAACCAATAGACACCAAAGAACAGAATGAGGACTAGAAGAAGGGCCCAGACCTGCCACTGCTGCAAGACGTTAACGAGCGCGGATCCCCAGGCCATATCTGGAGCTGTCTGCTCCGTGTGCTGTACAGGACGATTCATCTTCTATTGTGCACAGCACTGGAGGGTGAAAAATTTTTCTGATTGCCCCAAGGCAGGAGCATGGACACGTAGGGGAGCCTTAGTTACAGCATCAGAGAAACTAGAGCCCACTGGAGCATCAGTTCTGCTGCAAAATGCTCCCCTACTCTGCAACAGTTGTGCAACCTCACCCTCTGCCCACAATTCCCAACAAAGTGATGCACAGGCATTCACGGATGCATCATTTGTTCCAGCACAATATTTATTGGCAACTTTGTACCAACTGAAGCTCCCAGAGGGAATGGCAGCAATTCCTGAAGGGAATGGACTCTCTCAAAAAGGGAGGGCATTCAGTATCCAGGTGTTAACGGGAATCTCTAGTTCCAGGCTCCTTGCCATGGCCTCTTCAGGATTGTTCTGTACAGCTGCATACAGAAGGTAGTACTTTGGTGGGGGGAATAGGAACTATGAATTCTGTGTTTATGAACTGTATGTATTATGTATTTACTGTATATACTCTACATATATGAACTGTGAGCCATAGTTCATATATGAACTATGTATTCTGAATTTGGAACATGAATTCTGCAAAGCTAGACCCAAATATGTGTTTAGGAATGTTGTTATAATTTCTAGACAGTAAAGAAAATCAATGTGTAAGCATTTTTGGTGCCAGACTCGAGACACATGCCGTTTTCTTTCCCCATTAGAAGGAGAGTGAGCAGCTTTCCTGTAAACATGATGCAAATCTTCCCATTTGTTTTCAGAGAAGTGCAAAATTCCATGTGGACTCAATGAAAGAAATAACCTACAGGACATGAATGCCACAGTTGTGGTAATATGAGAATATGAGAGTAACAAAATAACAAAATAACAAAAGTGTTCAGGGATCCCCTTTTGCCTGAACTTTCTGTAGAAGCAGCTAAACAAGACAACATCAGCCACCTGGATGATAGAAGAAGAAGAAGAAGAAGAAAATATTAAAACAAAAATATTGTGGTCCTGAGCGAGCCAAAGTGCTTGTGTGAAAAGAATCGCAAGGTCAAACTGGAAAGCCGCTTGAAGTGTGATTGTTCTTTGTGGCTGAAGGCGGCCATGGGAGTGTCTGTATGGTGTGTGTGCAGGTAAGTAACATCTGGCCTGGCTTGGTAGCTCGGACCCTATTCTGTATATAAAAGGAGTAATACCAGTTACAAGACAGTTCTGCCTGGACAAAGTCTGTCTCCTGTGGATTCATTTGCCACAAAGAGTGCTGAGTGAGGGATTTTCGACACAACTTTCCCACATTCATTGTGGTCTCTGATGAACAGAAAGCAAAGGGCTGTGCTGTGTTACCCTCCTGTGGTCTGTCTGAAGTCCTGACGTGCTGTAGGAGTGTCAGGAATGGGAGGCCATGCTTTTATACAGGTATGGAGGGTCAGAGCCAACCCTTGGTGATGGGGAGTAGAGGAGAGGGTGCACATGAACAGAGTAATATCTGAGGAGAGGAGGTGTATCATGGCAATAGAAAATGAATGAAAGAAAGAATGAATGAATGAATGAATGAATGAATGAAAGAATGAATGAATGATGAATGAATGGTGTCCTTCAGATGGAGCATCAATTAAGAGACTTATTTAGGAACAGAACTACCTGCTTTTGAAAAATAAAAGGCAGGGAAAAACTATTGCAAGCATCATTGCATTTGCTTCCCAGATAGAGAGAGAATGAGAGACAGGAATCCTGTTCAAACACAAAATTAGTTGTGGTCTTTATTTCTGGAGATTGTTAATTGCAGTGAGCAGCAGCCTACATGCAATGTCACAAGTCTGTGAAAGCACAAGTTTAAGTAGGGAAGTTAATTTCTTACAAAAGAGACATTGCAATTTTCTTCTTCATAATGAGGTTGGGCAAATGCAAGGTGCTGATAGCCTACATACATACATATTTCCAGAATCTGTAGTACTCGTTAAAATTAAGGCAGAAGCACTGAAGGAAGAAGAGACTGAGTAAAACCTGTGATGCACTGGAGAGTTTTTCTAAAGGAGCGATATTTACACGCGTTGTAACAACCACATGGCATAACACTTCTAAAAAGAGTATTTTACTCTTCATTCTTTTTCACTGGCTCTGGATATTTTTCAGCAGTTGCTGTAAAAGTGTTCTCTGTGTAAGTAAAGTTGTGGGATAGACAATGGGCAGTTGAAGACTACAGGACATTCCCATGGCCTCTATATCCCCTCCTTCCCCCCTCCCGCTGTTGGTATTTTTCCCTGCCCAAGACTATTTAAAACCTTAATCTGGCTTGGACCAAAAATTCTTTCAATGTGGACATGGGTCTAAATGCTACATTAAAACCAGATAATTTCCAGCTATTTGAAAAAGCAGTCTGTTAAAATATTGCCAAAATTTTCTTCTTAAACTGCAGTAGCTAAAACTTGAATACCTACATAGGAATACTGTTAAATGTTGGTGCATATCCTGGGTTGTGACACTATAGTGGGGAAAAAAAAACAGCTCTAAGACAATCAGGTGGCAACTAGGAAGATACAGTGGATTACATCATGACCATGATAGGATGGCCTGAGGCAGCAAGTGAATGGGTTGGGAAGATGAAACTGGGGTTTTATTAGTCTCTCTAACTCCTGTTTTCATCTTTCACATTTTCTTTGCCGTTATTGGTTTTCCTCTTTGAAAGTTCTTCCTGACAGTCCAGGGGTTGTAGCTAGCAATGCAGTGTACAGGCACTGAAAACTATCCTCTACGGGGTCAGTCACAGAGAAAAATTGTTTGATATTACTGACAGAATAAGCCTGCAGCCAATGCTGCGTGCAAAAAAATATTTTTGAATTTTTCCTAATGTAGTGTTGCTGTGTATGTTATGCATTGAACTGATGGTCTCATGATCTCATTTCAGTGGTGGCTGCAAAGCTAGAAACCTTGAATTCCTTGAGATCTCCTACATGACATCCATAAGGATGCTGCAATATTGGGATATTTTCTTTTGTAATATTTAACAATTTCATTTAAAATTATGTAACAACATAGGTCACTAAATGTCAAAAAAGAGGTTTTAAGCCCCCAACAATTAGGTGTGCATGATTCAGCTTAACCTTTCGATGCTCGGTTCCTTCTCAGGTTTAGGAAACAATCCTGAAGGGTAATGGCTCGTGCAAAACTTCCATGAGACTTCAGAGTGCTTTGCAGAAACAGGTCCCTGAGTTTCTTACTCCATTATCTGAGTTTCTTCTCCCCCAGCTCCCACACCTTAGTGGCTGGTCTGAGCTAGTTGCCCAGGCCCTCACCAAAAGAAGAAATGGTGTCAACTCCAGAGAGCAACATATCCCCTCAATAAATTTGTATCTAAAATAGGTGAAGTACTTGTCCCCTGGTAACTACAGAGGAAGTCTGGGAAATTGTCTTAGAGTAGGACCTACCTTCATGAACGGCAGAGGTCATGAGGTGAATCAGTCACTTTGTGTAGGAGTGTAGGAGAACAGTTCTACTAGCTGGGTCACCATTCTCTTAAGATTACATTGTCCTTCGAGGCTGAGCTGGAGAATGAGCAGAGTATTTTTACCTCTGTTTGAAATTCATTTTTGATAATCTAAATTCCTGTGAAATTGACTGGAAAATTAACATATACACCGGTCTAGCAAAGACCAAGCAAGTGCCTCTGTCTTTAAAAAGACACACTGCTGGGGAAGACAGGGTAGAGCCAAGGCTGGTTTTTGTCATGGAGCATAGGATTTTAAACTGTAGATTAAAAACGAAAACTGCTGAAAATAATTTAAAAAAAAAAGATGGCTTAAAACATGTGGCCATGGGTTTATGCATGGAGGCCGGGGGTTGGAAGGAGATAGATATATAGAGAGAAGGCAGAGGTAACAGTTTGAGTTGCATCTAAATGAGCCGAAACCTAGTAGCCTTTTTCAAAGGCAGTCTTGCCCCCCTGTTCCAGCTGCAGAGTCATCTTCGTTTGTTACCTTTGTTTTCCATCAGATCTGCCAGCCAAATTGACCTGTCCTGTAGCTGCTTGGCCACTAGATTGATCTGATGGAAGCGAAGGGAATGTTTGCCCAGGACTTGGGTGAGGAGGGAGTATTTTGGCAGCAGGTGCCTGTGTTAGATAAGGTGTACACTGAGCTTGTGCTCCTTGCTCTGATGGACTGGTGAGTTGGACTGACCATTGAGAGCTACATCCACAGGGGCAGTACTGAGTGAATATACAGGTCCTTGCAGATGTGGACAGGACAGTAGAAGTTTCATCTTCACTGAGAGCTTTCAGGGCTACAAAGCAAAACAAAAGCATAACATTTAGTAAAGGACAGAAGCATGGCTGTAATTTCAAGGTGACATGAGCTCACAGCTAGGCTAACTCTCCAAAGGTAGTTGCAACACCTTTGATTCTTGGTACTGTACTTAGAACAATTCAGTTTGGTAAGTCAGTGTATCAGACATGGAGAAGCAAGGAAGACTTAGCCTGTAGAGATAGAGACACTGGGAATACTTTTTGTTTTTTCTTGATCATTCCAAAAACTGAATAGTTGAGCATCTAGAAAGAGAGAAATGTTTCTTTGTATTCTGAAAGGATGAGGAGCTGATTACAACAGAGTGAAGAGAACTCTGTTTTTTTAGCTTGTGTGAGTAAATTATAGCTAACAACCACATGAGCTATCTGTGAGCCTTTTCTAAATATGCTCTGCTGTTTCTATGTTCTCTATGTCATGGAGAATATTATTCCTTTGCACAACATGCAGTTCAAAGGAGCAAAACTGTAGCATAAGATCTCTAAGTCACTGCAAACACAAAGATTATACTCAAAGTGAGGTGGTCCAGTGAATACTAAGGACTTTCTTTCTCCATCTTTCAATACTTATGTTTTCCTGTATGTTATTGCCATTAGCTGCTGAGCTAAATCTGAGAAAACTTTTTGGGAGGGAGGACAATGAGAGATAGGCAGTATCTAACAAAGTGACTATCTTCTGTGAATACTAATAGAAGTGCACCTCAAGATATTTCCCACAATTATGTATTTGAATGAAACATGAAATTTCCTTTGCCCCTGCTCAATCTCCTTTGAAGTCTGTTAATATTTTAATAAAATAATTTCCTGGCAAAAAGGAAGGGAAAAAAAGAAAGAAATAATGAGTTTTAAACAAAAGCTTTGCAGAAGGTAAATTGTGAACTTGTAACTATTTGTTCTGAAAATATAGTGCTGAGTTGCATTAGCAGACCATGCTCAAACAGCAGTTACAGATATTACATTGTCAAAAGGTAAGGATGAGTTTCATGAAGTTCCACAAAGGATTGCTCTAAGTCTGGTAGCATTCATTAATGAGTTGGATGATGACACAAAAAGAATCATTATTAAATTTGCAGATAATTTCAAGCAGCATGAGACTGCAAGGATGTTAGAAGAGATGATTAATATTCAGTGATCTTGATAAACTGCAGGTATGATCTGAAAAATGTGCATAGCATTCAATATGAATAAGAGCTACATTTAGACTGGAATAAGAAACTGCAGAAACAGAGGACAGCAAGGAACTATTTTCACATCAATTCTGTGGGAAAATATTTAGCAGACTTCCCAGATCAAAAATTGAACAGGAGAAAATAATGCAAAAAAGGGGAACAGCACCCTGGGCTGTCTGTGCAGGTGCAGAGTGCTCTGCTCAGCACTGGTGAGGCATCAGCAAGAGTGTGTACAACTCTGGATACAACAAAAATATGAAACAACTGGAGATGGCCCAGAGAAGGATAATCAGAATGGTGAGGTATTGAAAAAAAACAAGCTGTAATGCAGGAAAATTCATACTATCTAATCTGACACAGAAAAATGGGTAAAAGTCTTAAAAAATGTGAAATTCTGTTCCAAAGAGAACAGTGGTAATCTGCTTTCTACATCCATGACGGACAACAAGAAATAATGAGCTCTAATTTTAATCAGAGATTCATCTTCAATACTAGGATAAAACCTTTTACAGGTAATGTTTAACTAAACAGAATAAATTTCCTGGAGTGTCTGTGGCATCTAAAGCACTGAACGTCTTCAAGAACTTGTTAACTTAGGCATAGCTGAGCCTACCTTGAGCAGTACCATAGACTCGGTGATTTTCAGTCCATTTCTGGGCTAAAAATTGATAATGATAATAATAAGACTCCCATCTTCAACTCAGTAATTTACAAATTTAGTTAAAATTAAATATACCATTCTGAATCTACATCATTGCAATCAGCTTCTGGGGAATTTAGCATTCAATCTCCTAAGAATGCAAGCAGGAACAAGTTGAAAATTTCAGAATTTGTAACCTGTCAAAATTTGGGCAGATTTTCACAGAATAGCATATCCTTGTCACCAAAGCCCATCTCTGTGACACATTTTTACCAACAGACTCAAAACATTGGCATATTCAGTTATAAGAATATATTTAAGATGGGGAGAAGACTTTTTTCATCAAATCTTCTTGGAGCCAGTTAAACTGATTTTGCTGAAACATTAAAAAAAAAGGAAAAAATAATATTAGAATCCAGCCTTGTGCTGATCCATAGAGTGAAACATTTCAGCCCAAGCAGTTGAAGATGGCAGATTTTCAACCATGCCTGCAGTAGTTAATTACCTGCAAGTAGATTTGAGAACTCGCTGTTTCATTAGCATTTATATACTAGCATATATATATATATACACATACATACACATAAATATACACACACACACATATATGCTCTTTGAGATCCTGACATGATATGTATTACACCTTTTAAAGCTTTGTGGAGTTGTTAACGGTGATGCAGATTTAAAGCATTTTCTTAGACAATTAGGGAAAAAAAATAATTAAACTCATGGGGTTTTCTTAAATAGGCCCTATGCATGATTTTGAATTATGCATTGTCCAAATGTTTTGTTCTCACATTCTAGTTTAAGAGAGCAGAACAGTTTGAAATGTGTTTTAATTGAATTGGGCTGTATCAGTCTCTCTTGTCACAGGCTGGCAGGCTGAATACTGAAGTAAGGAGTGTGTTTCAAGATGAGAGCTACCAATGGCACTGTTCTGGCTGGAGAGGAGGAAGATAAGACCAGAACTGAGCCCTGGGATCCATCTCATATTTCACACTGCTGAGATTTGCAAAACTGGCATCTGGATTCCTGGCTTTTTAGGGAAGGGGGATTTGTAAACCTAGGAAAGGATGACTGCACTCCTGAGAGGCAAACCCTCTTATGGGCTTCCTGTGCTCAGCAGAGAGAAAGTAAGATTCTTTCTGTCACAGCTCTGAGCATCTGAGGTTATGCTCCAGCTTTGAATCTCCAAGTGTCTTTTCCCACCGTCCCTAGTGAGAGCTTAGAAAAATCAGGTTTCCTAGGCTAGTATCTGTTTTTTGAGTCCTTCTGCCTCCCACCTCCCACTCGTTTTAGTGAGTGCTGCACAACTGACCCCCACTCAGCCAGATCTCCTCCCTATGCAGTACTTTCTCAGTAACAGACAAGCTGGAACAATAACTGAAAAGTAATACATTAACTGTCACGTGAATTTGTAAGTGAATTTTAAGGACTTTTCTTATTCAAATAGTAGAAATGTTTGACTGCTCAGGCTTAACTGCTGTTAATAGGGAGGGGAAAAAAAAGAAACGAAATTAAGTAACTGAGTATTCACCAAAAGCAAATGCCAAATGTTAATCTTCCCTGCCAAAACCAGAACATGCACTGTGATGTTTAGCCAAAGAGGGAGAAGTGGTACCATGTGATTTAGATAAATCATCAACACCCTGCACATTTTTTAGAGAAAAGATTTTATATATAAAAATGTATGTGCACACGATGTGAATATATATATAGAATAGATACCCAAACACATAGACATGCATTTCAATACTTGAACTGTGTTGGTGGGTACTATAAATCATCCAAGTGCAGAAAAGAAACATGGTTTATGGTGATGTTTGCAGTTTCTTCCATATGGTAAATGCTTTTTCGAAAGCAGAAGATGATATAGTTTCTGCTGCGAAAAATGCATATTTTAATAAGACACAGATAAATAGTGGTGAGAGAGAGATACAGCATACAAACAGTATGATCAGGGCTATGAAAGGCACATACTGTATTTTGCTGAATTTAAGGGTTTTTTTAAATACATTTCATGCCATCCTCCACACTTCAGGCTCTTCATTCCCACTGCGCAGCAGTTCCCATCACAGCTTATGTAATTAATCATTGTAAAACCTACTTTAAGAAGAAAAAATGTCCAAAGGAAACTTTTGCAATATCACAGAAGAAAGAAGTCAAGGATGTTACAATTTAGTCAAAATAAGTACTCCGTCTGCACCTTTTCCAGACCATCAGATAAAGACCAGCTGGAGAAAACCTGAATTCTATGGGAATTCACATATTTCTGCCACTTAGTACCATGAGTTCTCATAATATTTGGACACCTGACATGGCAGAAGTGGAGACTCTACCATGTTCAGAAAAATTTTACAAGTTCAGATCAGATGGATGGAGTTCAGGCAGAAGGCCATTCTTGACTAAAAGACAGAAAAGAATAAACATTGTTAGATATCAAGAAACTGATCTCCTGATGAACTGAAAGAAGACATAGAGAGATCTTAGCATATTTCTAGTTGTTATAGAAAAACCTACAATCCCCTCTATAGACCTGTCTATAGCACAGGAAAGTATGAGACTGTGCTTACCTCCTCACTCCGCCAGTGCTCTGACTTGTTCAGATGTGAGATTGCCAATGCAGAATAGAAAAGGATGCTTCTGCTATGGTTGAGCAAGAACCTGGACATTGAGGAAATGGAGTCTTTCCTCTTCTGATTAGTTGTATTGCTCTTAGTCCATTTTGGGACTCTAGGTAAGACAAAGTGAGGCAGAGCTTCTTACACAAATCTCTTTTCAACACTTCCAGCAAACAGGCTCTCCTGGAATTTCCTAGGTGAATTTACAAAGGCTCTGAATTTTGCTTTCCCACAGTGTTCTTCATTGACAAAAATGAACAGAGGGACTGCTACTAATGCTCCTCTGATGTTTTTAGCTTTATAGAAAAAAATATTCTCAATACTTTTGGGTTTGTGATTTTTCTAGATTCAAGGCACAAGTTCTTCCATGCCTGAAATTCATCACCAAGGCTTTTTTCCCCCCCAGTCATAACAAGTCACTGGGAAGTTTGTTAGAAGTCACACAAAATTTAAGAAGTGTTAGAGCAGGCACAAATTTAACGTTTGCAAAGACAGCTGAAATCCCTTTGCACAAAGGGAGGAATTAAGTGAAGCTCAACAAGGCCAGCACACACTGGCTCTGAATGGTTCCTATTGAGTCGTCTTTGTTCTTTTAGCTTGCATGATCCTTGTAGGTGTAGACATATACATTTTGGCTTGATGCTGTTTAAGTCATGGCTCAGACACTGTCAGTGTACATTACCTGCATTTTTCAGTATGACATGTTCAATTTTTGCAACACACGTTAATGTGGATCAATGGAAACCTCTGTGGGCTGAGATCCCCATGGGACAATTCTCCCTATAGGGAAAGCACTCACACTCATATAAACTTGGCGTATGTGGCATCATCTCCTATGCTGTTTCCTTCCTTAAAGGGTACACACGAAGGACTCAGCAGAGCAAGGCTGATGTGTTTTGGTGTTGCGTGGTTGAAATCATTTGTCTAATTGCTCCCTTTTTCTGCTGAATCCTTATGGAACACAGCACACACAATAGAGTACAAGGAGTTTTTAAAGCATACTTCCATAAAGACAAGCAAGGAATCACAGAGGGGTACCATCAAACAGTATCTGAGAGCACCGTATGTAACACATGGCAAAAGAGACAGCAAACATCACTTTACCTGCCATTTATTGGTCACAATGACAAAATGCGGAATAACTTTTTTCTTCTGGTAGGTGATATAAGGTAAGTAAAATTAACAGCACCCCACAACTTACTCCTGCTGAAAGCTGGCATGAGTCTGTACTGCTTGTACACTTCCAAATTGGCTAGTAAAGCTAGCCATCAGTTCCAGTTATTGAATGTTTACAAAACAAAGGATCCTTCTTTAAAAAGGCTGACGAATTCAAGACTGCTGCTACAGGTTGATACTCAAAAATGTACCATGAAATAAGGAAAGGGCTTTGAGCTGACATTAAAAAAAAACCCCAAATCTATAATAGGTGCAATAAAAGATGTGCTAAAACCTCTTTAAAACTGCAAAGAAACTGTAACATAATGACTGCCTGAAACAAAATAGGAGAGAAGAATTAATCCCCCAGCTAAGGTCTTATTTAATTTGCTTTAACAAAGTCTGTAATGCCTATTGCTCTGCTGTTCTAATGATGTAGGCTAAGACACAGGAGATAAGAAAAGCCAAGACACTGAAAGCTGTTGTAAAACTAGGTCACTGTTAAATTAAACATTTTATGAAAAATATAACCTACCTTGAACAGCTCTGAAAACCTCTTTGCTTTTTTTTCATGCCCTCAGCCTGAGAGAGACACGCTGCTGTACTGCCTTCATGGGAAAAAGCACCAGTTTCCTGACGACTGAACACCCACCCCCCAAGCCAGCTCCGTTTTTTCTTGTAATTAACAACTGCTGAATATTTATGAAGTGTCACAGGGTAACACTTACTCATTGGATCAACAACGCTGTTGGTTTGCAAACTAAAAAGAAAACACTGGCCCTACCTCGGAGCATGGCAACCACTGATTGCAGCTGCACCAGCTTCCGCTTTTCCAAGCTTTTCAAGCACCAGAAGAGGAGGATGCTATTGGCAGAAAGTTAGCGATATCTACTCTTTTTTTTCAGATGATCACAGGGGAACATGCTGTGATATGACTCTTTTCCCCATGTGAAGAAGCTGTTGAAATACCCTGGAGACTCCCACTGCTGAGCTGTGAGTAAGAATTAGCTCAAGCCCTGTGAGCGTTTGTAACTCTAGAGTCAGAGCCACGATATGCAGGGGTTGAAAGTTGTACATTTCAAAGCTGATAAAATGACCTCTTTACAGCAATGAGTATAATACGACTTTAAGAGAGTATTTCTTGGCATGGGGGGAGTTTTCTACTGCTGCAGTCTTCAGTAGATGACAAGATAACTTTACAAAAGGTGTGTTTCTGTACTTGCACTCTATGATAAAGAAAAGCTGATCAAATATTTTCAATAGTAAATGTTAGTAAAAATGAAAATTTTAGCTCAGGTTCCTCAGTTTCAGTATCATTAGGGATAGGTGATGTTCTATACCTGCTGTGGACTGTGGTGATCTCTTCTGGGTTTTAGATCTCATCATAAAGTACAGCAGAGAGGGAACAATAAAAGTCTGCCCTCCTGGCCAGAAAAATGTGTGCCGGTCTCTCCCCATGCATTCTTCCCCAGTGCTTATTGAGCGTAACAGTGTTTCAGATGAAGGTCTTCTTCTGCAAGCTTTGTTGTATGTGCATAGTTCTATATCAACTCGAGATGTCCCACTGATCTAAACGGAATGGTTCCTGCATCTCTAATCATACTCGTCAAACCGCTGGACTCTCCCACGGGGAGAGAGGTTAAACTGAGAAACGATCTCTGTGATGAACAGAGTCTGACTACGTTGTTTTCAGCATAAAGATCAATGCAAATACAAACCTAGCTTGGTTTTATCTGGTTTTAATTATGTATCATTTATTTTAGTAGTTAATGCATGAAATTAAAAAATGTTGCTAAGCCATTTTTCTTCACACTTTTTATTACTTCCATGGACCAAAGAATAGTTGCTACTTAAGAGAAGCCACTAGGCAAAGATTTATTTAATTATAGTATAAAATGTGGAAATAAGACATGAAATATTATCCAAACCTGAAATGCCATTGAAACTGGTTTTATTTATCATTTTCCTTTCCTTTTGTTTGTAATTGTTGGTTACAATTTCTTCTGTTGAGCACGATTAAAATAAGCCCAGTGGTCACTTTTGCTTTAATGTTTCTGATCAGCTTCTTTTTTCAGCATCATGTGCTGCTGTAAGACAGTAATACTCAGCCTGGAATTACTGTCAGGAAACATATTAGTAGTTTCTTTGAGTTGCAATGTTAATATATATGTGAATTATTTTCTATCAATCTCGTATTTTGAAAATGACATTTCTATAGAACATGCATTTTAGTCTGAGTTAACCTGATATATTTAAGCACTGTGTAATGCATGTACACTCCCTTGAGGGAGCTGTGAGAAAAAGACTGTGTAGAGCAGTCATGAAACAGTTTTTCCTGAACAAACCTGATATAAGACACTGAAATATTTAATCCTTGGTATTACAAGTAGTCATACCCCAGCATAATTCAATATAACTATTGATTTAAAATGTTTTGCTGAGAAAATTTCTGTAAAAAAAGAAATCTTTATTTCATAGGTAGCCATTCTCTCTTTCCTCCTTTGCCAGACAACCTTGTGTGGCAAATAATGTATAACATGCTCAGGTTAATCTTAAGGGAACGACAAGTAGTTTAAATTCAAACTTGATATAAATGGAACTACTTTTTAGATTAAAAAGTATCCCAAAAATATCCTGTGATGTTTGAAAGGTGCAATCTCTTTGAACAAAAAAAATCAGGGTCCACCAAGGTCAGAATGTTTTAACCTGCCACAGAAGTTTTTAAATGCCCACAGCTGATATCTGAACCAAATCAATTGAATCAACACCTTGTGAAGTCTGGTAAGGGTCAATGAGCTTGTGTGAGGCACAGCAGAATTTTGCCACTAAAATGCAATTTCGAGTGTGACAGGTAAATAAATGTATATAGTCTGTGATGATGAAGGACATTTTAGAAGAAGCATGTACAAACTGTACAGGCTGGAACCTGGTTTTTGCAAGACTAAGGAAAGAGTAGCCAGTAGAGATGGTGATATTGATCCAGTAGAAATGGAAGTGATGTAGAGTTGCAGCAGAAATAGTTTTTTCTTCTTAATTTAACATTTGAATTATTGAAGCAGTTTAGTGTACCAGACATCACCAGAAAGTGTCCTGGGCAGATTACAACCATAAAATAACAGGATATCCCTGCACATGACAGCTTTTGGTGCCAATCATCAGGCTTGTGAAATTTAAGCCTAATTTTGATAAGATGTTAGGAAAGGGGGGAACAGGGTCACCACAGAAGGGCCTTTAAGACAAGCTACGCAGGTTAATAAAGTAGCCTTTCCTCTGCACAGCTGACAGCCTTCACAACTCTGTGCAGAGTTTCAGCTGTGATAGTGAGTCCGATGTGTGGAAACCAAACCTTGGAAATGCACAAACTTTAGCACAGAGATAGGCACAGGTGCCTCCTGTCAGTGGTCTGCCCTACTGCTTTCCAGCATATGGCTTTCAGACCTGACAGTCAATTTTGGGCACAGTGGGCTTAACTTGCCTTCTGGAGGAAAAGAAAGGGAGTAAAAATCTCATCCAACAGAGAAATTGGTGGATAATATCCATAGGAAGTATGCAAACTACTTCGCACACCTAATTAATGTGCGGACACTCCTCCTGGCCGACAGCAATGGCTTTTGCCCATGGGACAGGTCTGTGTAAAAGAGCTGGGTCTCCAAACCATTTTGTCGAGATGTGGTGCTTGTTAGGACTGATGGTGGTGTGTGGAGCCCTAAATATCGTGTAAGCACAGGCATTAGCTAGGAAATCCTGGCTGTTGGAGGACTGTCACCCAGAGATGAGGCTTTCCTGGTTTCAGGAGAAAGAATTTTGCAGAACGCTTTAATTGCGCTATGCAACACATAAACAAGAATGCAACACAGATACAAGGCCCTGCCTCCGGGGCTGCGCCGAGTGCCCCAGAAGCAGCCGGGGTGGCGGGACGCAGGGGCTGAAGCTTCCTCCCTGTCACCAGCAAAGGGCGGCTGGCTCGGAACCGGGGGGAAGCGACGGCGGTGCCGGGCGGGGGAGGCGCGGCTGGGCCGCCCGCAGCGGGCGCTGCTGCGGTGGGGCCGGGGCCGCCCCGTCACCGCCCCCGCCCGCCCGGCCGAGGGTCGGGCGGCGGCAGCGCGGGGCCGGGCGGGGCGGGCGCGGTGTGCCCGCGGTGCTCTGGTGGCAGCGGCGTCGCCCCGGCCGCCGTCCCCGCCGCAGCCTGAGAGGCGCTGAGGAGAACGGGAGGTTTTTGGAAGAGGCGCGGAAAGGAGCCCGGGCTGACCGCCGGCCCCGCCCGCAGGCTCACGCCATGCTAAGGGCGCTTCCCCGTCCCTGAGGAGAGGCGAAGGGGCGGCCGGGGACGGCGGCGGCGCGGTTGCTAAGGTAATGGGAGTGGGCTGCTCTCCTTGCCGCTGTTTTCCTGCTTATCCGCATTTGTATGGCGAGCGGTTGCCGGTCGGCTCTGCCCTGGCAGCGGGATACCGGTGCTGGTCCCGCCGCGGAGAACGGAGCCCCGAGCCCCGGCGGGAGCGGCTGCGCGGGCGGCGCCCGGGTGGGAGGTCGCTCCCAGTCGGGAGTAGCGGACAGGTGCAAGGCGGGGTGTGTGTGTGTGTGCGTGTGTTTTCGGGGGGAGGCTTCGGAGAAGGACGAGAAGGAGCAAGCACTGGGGTACAGCTTGAAGGGGGAGCTGGTGCCCTGTGGGAAAACTTGGAAACTGTTTCGCTTCGGTAGCGTATGGCAATAATACACTTCCATCCGCTGACAAAGTGCGTTTGCATGAAGACAGATCGGTGTGTGAGAGTAAAGCTGCCAGGCACTCTGCTTCCAGAGCCTTCATCTCCTGTGACACTAAAAGCATCTTCTTAGTCACTAGCTGTGATGGCATAAATAGAGGAGTAGGTTGCGGTGCCAGTAAGAAGCTTCAAGTGTTTTTCTCTGAAGAAGATGCAGATTTTTGTATAGATACCGGTACGCTGCCCTTATACGCTGCAGACATAATAGCAGACAGGGCTGCCGCTCCAAGGAGCTGACTGCGTCTGTGACTCGGAGCTTGGCGTCCCGTTTGCATCGGCGCTGCCCTCGCTGCCGATCGGAGCCCTTGCTGGGACGGCCTAGGTAAGTCGGGGCTTCCTTCAGCTGACCTGCAAGGGACTTGCCAGAACGGCATCCCAGTTATAGTCTGCGTGCTACAGAGCAGCATGACGCTTTCGAATGCTTCCCTGAAATTAAAGATAGGCATAATTGCTTTTGATTGTTTTTTATTTGCTGACTGCCAGTGTGTAAAGATTGGAAAGCAGGAAAATCTATCTTTGCTAAATAAAGTCATACTGTAAAACTAACCTTTGTGTCAGTGTGTTACGATAGATACTGGTGGTTTCCTACCCCAAAGAAAGCTACGTTTCATTTGTGTTTGTGTGTTTGTGAGCTGTGAGTGTGAAAAGCGCTTTGTAAAGGTATAGTGATTTTTGTAATTGCTTGCTGAAGAACATAGTGAAAGAGGTTAACTGTAGTTCAAAGCTTTGGGGATTTACGACATTTAATATCATCCTAAATATTCTCCAAGTCCAATGGGGTTTATTTTGAAGTGGAAGGTTGTGTATATTTGATTTAATAAATTTCTTTTTTTAATGCCAGATTTATTCTAATTTTGCAGATTGCAAGAACTAGCAATTATTTACTATGTTATGATCCATAATACTTTCTCACCAGCTGATTTGGAACACTTGCACTATATTTCCTTGTAAATCTGCTTTAAAAAGAGGTTGGATGCTTGAGAACAGTTATTGACTTGGGGGCATGTGGTTACAAGCACGGAATAATAGCGTTCATTGCTTGAATATGCGTGTGAAATGCTGAAGAAACTGTTTAGACTCAGCCAATATTGACTTTATTTTTAGATGAGCTGTTCCTTTTTCTAATGACCCGGCTGATAGAACAACTGATGACCAACATTCCAGTTTCCTTTCTAACTGGCTACAAGTGTAGTGGAGTTTAGATAGCCCTTCCTTTTCCCATTCTGAACTCTGTTAGAAGGAGAAGTAGTTGTTTGCTACACGTCTTATACTGAGGTTTATAGTAATAGATGTTTGAAGATTACTGTTCACCTACCTGACTGACTTTTCTGGTTTTTTTCTTACTACCCGTCCCTTCTAAGTAAAGGCGCAATAAGAAGCTGCTTATAGTCATTGTCAACGCCACTTGCCTTAGTTTCTCTCTGACAGTTCCCATGATGCAGATATCTGTTTTAATCAATGATACTTGAGGATAAGAGGAAAAGGTATGTCCTCTTGAAGCAGCAGTTACCTCCTTGCTAACCACTTCCAAGGTGGTTTCAGTGTCTAGCATGGAATTCTGGTGGAGCACACTGGTATGGCAGAGGTGAGCAGAGCACTTTTAATTTATGGGAGTAACTCTCCTTTTGTTAATGTTTCTGAGGCAGCTGGAGGAAGGCTGAGTTTATGGACTGGAAATGCTAGGCTCTGTTGTTGTCCCTTCGAGCAGCCAAAAAGGGGAGAAAAGGAGAGGGCAGTCCTGTCCCAGCAGACTGCAGCAAACTAACAGATGGCGGGGAAAGAGAAGAAGCTGATGTATGTGGAGTAGCGGGAAGAGAAAATAGCTGCAGTGTGTCATTTTAACATGTACGTTAGGATGCTGTTAGTTACTCTGTGGTAAAACTTCGGAATCTTGCAGTGCCACGGCTCTGCAAGATTCTAACAGGAATACAACGTTGTTGTGGGGTGGTTACTTTTTTTCTCTCCTTTGTAATGAGTCCTCAGCTTTTCAAGAACGAGGATAGCTAACCTGGAGGCTTTGGCCAGGTATACCTGTGATATTTAAATCAAACACTGCAGTTGTAAAGTGGCAGAAGAACAAGAACAAGCTGCTCTTCCCTTGCCCAATGTTAGTTTTGCCCTTATGATGGGCTGTTGTATTGTTTGTGCTTATCACCTGAAGCTTCAGTTGCATTTCTGCAAGCACACGTGGACGCTCTAGGGGGGAGATTGTAGAAACAAACAGGTCCACTTCACTAAGCAGTACTGGACTGTTCCAGGGGACAAATATTGCACCTAGTTGTTGGAACTGAAATGCTCCTGGTTCCTTATGGGACTCTTATCAACTTCTTCATGACTGCATTATTATCTGTGTCAATTCATACCACAGTATTAAAATTAAAAAGAAAACCTGGGTACAATAAGAAAATTACGTTGATGATTTGGGTGTTTCTTGATGTCATACTTTGAGCTGCTGTCACCAGTGTGGTGTAAGACAGCACTCTGCCACGTGAAACAAAATGTAAGCGAGAGATCATGGGCCAGTGTTATTACTGAAGGTGTAGTAGTACTTTTAACCCTAAACACTTGCATCTCTGTCAGCATATCAGAGACAAGCTGACCAGAGCTGTGCTGGCCAAGCACATTCAGAAACACCTGGGTACCTGTAGGTGGTGTTGGGTATCACCTTGGACTGTTTTTGGAAGATAGTAATAGACATATCGTGGAGGGTTCTAAATTGTTGGATCACAATTTTCCTTTAATGATATATTGGCTTTTAAATTTTATAAAGAATGATATTAATGTTAGTGAATCCACAATGTTTTCTTAATCTATATGAATTTTACCATGAAAAGACGTTTCCTTGATTTCAGATGGAATAATAGCATATTGTGGTGACTGAGGAATGAACTAATTTCTGTTGTTGTGCTCTATCTATGAAGAGGAGCAAGAAAGAGGAGCTAATTTGTGTTTTACTCGTTGGTTGTCAAGCTCTAGAAAGATTGTGGAGTCGAGAGACTGCTGCTATCCACTTGTGTCGCATTATATCTCATACTATTTTTTAACATCTCTGTAGCTAGTGGCAAAGAATGTGGAGAGAAGAAAGAAAAGCAGATTAAAATTTGAGTAAGCAATAAGGTTCTGACACTTTGACGTTCTGGGAACTCTGCATTGTCATGCTGGAAACAGCTATCTCTTCCTAGACTTAGCAGCAGCAGAGTAAGGCACAGGTACTGTCCTTTGCCTACATGGGTGTGCTGGGGACCATGAGGCAATGAAGAGAAATTAGTTCTCTATTTCTGTAGGAATCTTCAGTTCCACACTAAAAACATATCCCAGTGGAAAGGGACAATATTTAATCTTTTTTTACTGTGCTTATAGAACCTGGTATCAGTGGTGAAAGGTTCACAGGGTAGTTTAAAGCTCCTCGGACTGTTTACTATAGGCCTACTGGGCTATTGGGGTGTGTGTTGAGCAAGTGGTAACTAATGGTTTGAAAGTCAAGGTTAATATGTCCAATTTGTTATGTCTCATTTGTTATATGAATGTGGGAAGTCACTTAATTTCATTGTGATTTAGTTTATAATTTCGTAAAAGAAAATATCTCTGTCACAGATAGGAAAATAGTTTCAGATTATGGGTTCACTAGTATAACAGCAAACTGGCATGGACATGTATTAGCTCAATTAAAGGAACTGTCTTTATTGGAGTATTACAGTATAACAGCAGCAGTAGTAAAGTATATTAGTATTTATGATGTATGTAGCATATATTGGTATTTATAGTAGTCCAGTTCTGGCATTTTGAAGTTCAAGTTTAGATGAACCACAGCAGTGGAATTTGTAGACTCTGCTGAACTGTATGGGAGTGTGGACTTGAGCTAGCTAATTTAGGAGTGACTTAGATGCTTTTTACATTGCAATTACTGAAGTGATTTGGGTGTAATTTGCATCTGAAAAGGATGTGTGCTGTTGTGATAAACAGGAGGGCACTGAAATCACAGTATATTGCATCATGTCCTTGAAGTAGGTGGGATGCAACCATTTGTGTTCACTTTCACTAGGGGTATTGCATGGTGCCACATCTTCAAGGACACATATGCTTTTGGGTAGTAAATTTCACATTTAGTTTGATTGCAGCATACTTGCAATTTTTCCTCCTCTTGAGATGTACAACCAGCAAGAACTCTCAGCACTTTGGGGTGCTTTAAATGAGATTGTGCAGTCGCCGATCAATGCAGGGGTGGATTAGTCTATCAGCTTGCATAAGATTGCTTGAAGGGAGCTTCATTTTAGCAATCTCTGTTTGAAACAGGGAGTTTAAGTGAAGTAAATCTGAATTTGGAATCTAACAGACACTGAGGCCTGTGGTTTTTTGTTTGTTTGTTTTATTTTAGTATTTTCTTGCCAGTCTGTATTAAAGCATCCATTATTTTGTGCTTCTCATTCAGTTGTATCTTTGAATCAATTTTCTTCAGTTGTTTTCAGCTTACTAGGTACAGTGTAAAATACAAAATGCAGCCCATCCCCCAGAAGTAGCTTACTGTGGTTGCAATTAGTATTTTCTATGGTACGTAAAGTGCAAGGCACTTGCAGAGATGGTGTCTGATGGACCAACTTCATAGAACAGGATGCTCTTAGTACACCTTAACTGACCTAATGCAAAATGATTTTTCAAAGATGGCTTTATCCTGGAGAATGGATTAGAAGTCTACCCTCAAGCTCTGTATTATCAGTGCAGTTACTCATTTTCCGCAGGGAATGATTCTGGCCAATAAGTTGGCATTGTTGCAAAAAGCCAAAATACAGCTTCAGCTCTCTGCTTTGTAACTGCTTTTTACAGGCTGATAGTGCGTTGTAAATACTTCTGTAGCTTGAGATCACCAATTCACATGAAGTTCAGAGTTGTGCTATATCTATCTCTTCACATTTCTAAATTTCAATAGCACTGACACTTGCTTTAGTGAAATATTCAACATATATTTGCTATTACATTCTTTGCAGCTATCCTTGGTACCAGCGTTTTGGCTCAGAGCCTTTCTAAGAGCCCTTGCACTCACACCAGTATTATTTTATTGGAAGGGAGATTGATTACAGGTAAATACTGCATTTCTTTTTGAATTCTTTGGAAGAGGGGTGGATGTATTGGAGGCAGTTTCTTCCTGGGTACAACATTGTTCTGGTCCATTAAAAGTAAATTTAGCATGCAAGTGCCCATTTTAATGATTGATTTCATAAAGGGAAAAAATTGCCTAGTTAATCAGCCATTCTTTGTCAATATTTGCTACCATCCACCCCCATACCGTTTTTCCTTCTGGTTATTTTGCTCTCCTTATTTATCTGT